GAGGTTTTTGGGGATCTCTGTTGATCAGCCCGGTACCTGATTACCACAGGCTGATGCAATAATAAACCATAATAAATCAGAGCAATAAACCTGTTGTTTTTCTTTTTATCCCTACCTGACTGGCTTCTGCGGAGAAGGACTCCCTAAGGGCTAGCAAGGCAATGGAGGATGGACCAAACCTTTCTAAAAGAATTTAGATCCCCAGATACTTGTCAAGTATTTTCCAGTAACAACTACTCCAGTTGTTTCCCATGGCCTCTCACATATACTTGATTATTCTTGCCTACGTGCTGTACCCTAATTGGCTTCCACCCTGTTTTTCAGACTCATTCTTCAATATGTCAAGATCATTATTACGTCTAACATAGTATTTTAAAGTTTCTAGTCTGCAAGAGTAGTAGGCTTACTTTTGCTAACACACCATGAAGCAAGTATTCAAGGGAACTGGATCCAGGACAGGCCTTTTCAGGACTTCTAGTCAATGTGTCAGTTTTGGAAGTAAGCCATTTATGCCTATTATTGGATTATCCAACAAAGTCTGTACAAACAAATCCGTATAATACTTGTTTAAAATATTGTAACGTCAAGAAATGTCATAAACCTTACTGGAATCAAGGTACATTGCAGCAGCTGCCTGTCACCCATCCCCAAGATGTGTTACACTATCACAGGAGCAAATTAGGTTGGTTGCCACTATTTATTCTTGACAAATCCTTCAGGGCAGTCATTTATTTGTTATCTTGAAGCTGCATACAAATAACTTGTTTATTTATTTCAAATTTATTTCTAGAGATTGAAGTCAAATTGACTAGTCTCTAATTCTCCAATTTCTTTTTTCCACTAACAGCCATGATGTTTGCCCTTTCCTAACCTTTTGTTACCTGGCAGACACAAATTCCCTGAAATACCTTGATAATAGCTCAGAGATTACTTTGACCGGTTTTTCAAATATCACCAGGCATTAAAAGCATACAAACGACCAAAATTTCCCTTTGTATTGTAATCTGAGATTGTATTGTTTTTTGCTAGTATTATTTGCCATAATCATATTTTACTGTTGATCCTTTCAGTGAAGGCTGACCTCGATATGCTGAGTAGAAGACAAACATTTCCCTTTGTCTTCTTGCTATTATTGCATTTAGGAGTGTGATATTTGTTATCCATCTATTCCTTCCTGGTTGCATCTCAATCTGTGGCCTGGCCCTCCTGGTACTATCACATGCTATGCTTTACAGTCCTTGTCTCTAGATTTTATTTTCTGTATGACTTCCTCTGGAGGTCAATGAAGAGGCCACTGCAAAAAAAATAAAACAAACAAGGGAAGAGATATCCTAGGAAGTAGTGAAAATCTGGTTTACAGTATCACAAGAAAAAATATATATAGTCTTAATATCTGATCGATATTTTCCTATTTCTACTGAGAAGAATCTGTATGGTTTTAGTGGAGGACAGGAAATGGTCATATTGGTCTTGAAAACATAAAACACCCAGCAAACAAAATAAAACCCCTTACAAGTAGGTTTTTTTCTATACAGAGAGAATTACCTAATTTACTGTTTCATAAAAAATATAGAGCAATCCAACGGTGTGTACATTTTTGAAAACTGAGTCCCAAATCTAACTGCCTACTCATAACACAAAATCAAGTGCTTTAGAGCACTGTAATAAATTATATCAAGCAGAATCAGAAGTTGTAATATTTGGAGAATTGTGGCTGTAGATGTCCTTCACACTCAATAAAATAATGTAAAGACTGGCTCAATCCCCCTCTCTCCTTGTGGAACACCAATATGCTCTAAAAGTATCCTGTGCGTAGATGTTGTGTGCTTTGTCATCTATACAGGTTACATACACACTTAGAGCCAGAGCCTTAGCAAAGATACTTAATTAATACCTTTCAAATTCATGTAATCCCTGCATATTTGTTAAAATCTTGTAGTCCTTGACATGGACTAGCTAACATGACATGCCCTGAGATAACTAGAACTTTCCAAACAATTTCCAAGGACAGTCTGGGATTTAAGCATTGGTGGAAATAATTTCCAAAAGGCACCTTCTTTGGTGGGAGAAAAGAATTTAAAAGTGTGGACGTAGCCAGACCATGCCAATTAGCTTCATGACCTGGTACTGCTTATTTTAACAGTACAATTCATAACTACTGTAACTACACATATACTATATTCACAACTACTATAATTCATATATAACTAACATTCATATAAAATTCATATATAACTAATATAATAAATAACTAACATAACTACATAACTACATATATACATATAGTACATATACTACCATTCATAACTACTATACCTACATAACATTCATAACTACTACTACTATCTTTCCTACTACCTCTTTCTAACTTTGGATTATAGACACAGGGCAAAGTCCAAACTCTGTTGTCTTCTTTTGACAAAAAGACCCATAAATGCAGCTGTTTTAGATCTGGGAACCAGTATCTTAGTTTTTTCACTTTCCAATTTTCTTTAGTTATATGCCCATAGAATTCATCATGTTCTAGAAATTCAGTTTCGAGTAACACCAGTCAGGGGCAATATGAAATATTGAAGGACGAGGAAAAAATAACAGCTTTAGCCAAGTAATTTTTTAGGTTCTTGACCCTGAATCCAAGTTTTATAATGACCTATGAAAAACAGAATCTGAAAGAAGCCTATCCTCATCCAACCTTGTCCCTTTATGAAAGATTAAGTTGGACTCTAAAGACAATGAAGAAAACTCACTACAGGTGACACAACAATGAAAATCTAAGGACCTGTTTAATTCTTCAGCAATGTCCATACTCAAAAGCAAAGATAAATTTGCAAGTATCACCGATTTTAGTTCCAGGCAGCTCCTCAAATGACCTTTGATCTATTAAGCTTATCCTTTCTCTAAATTTTAAATCAACTGCATTAAGATGAGCTATTAAGGTTTGTACAAACGTTATGTAACTGATGTTAATAGGCTCCATTAATCTAGGGCAGATCAAGACCTCTTCTGTTTTCAGTTATCATTGTCAAATTTTATTTTATTCCTTTGTGATATATATACATATGAGAGATTCACATTTTGGTTGCCTTTGAAGCAAATTTTGACAGGTTATTTTAAAGTCTGAATTTTTCACATTTGCTCCTTCAATATTTTTATGTTTGCTAGTTCTATTTACTTGATCTGCCCAAATTCATTATAACCTTTTTTTTTCCTCCCCCACTTTTTGGCAGATAACATTCCAATGTTTGTTGCTGACAGTTAAACCTTAAATTTTCAACTCCTGAAATTAAGTTCCTAATTTTATCTTCCCTTCTTTTCATATCTGGAATAGAAAAAAGTGGATAGATTTGTACTGTCTAACTTTAGGCACCTACTTTAGATGATACACTAAGAGGCTACTCTTCTTCGGACCTTGGTATAGTCAAGACAGAAAAAGAGGCTCCTATAAAGGATGATTTAAAGCGTCGATATCAAGTTCCACATTTGAGCAACTCTCTGGAATAGAATAATTTTTTGCACTGACTATTTAGGTAGTTTATGGAGACTAGCCCATTTATTTAGGAAATGAAATTAGGTAGTTAGTGCTAGGTTGTATAACTGTCCCCAGTATTTTTAAAAATTTAGGAAGACTATGTCTTCCTTTTTTCAACTAAAGCCATTATGTGTGCCCAAACTGATATGAATAAACTTTGAATAGTTACTAAAGTCCTCGTAGTAGAGAGATCATCCAGTAGAAGATATCCAAATTCAGTACCTTTTCACCTGGCATTCATAATCAGCTGTTGTTCATATCAGTTTAATTAATAACTAAAAGTCATGGCAAAAAGAGTAATTAAATGCTCTCTTCTTGTATAGAATAGGTATTTATTCTGGTTTCAGGGGTAACTTGATTTTCTACCATTCACAGAATTAAAGTCTGTAGTGGTTTCTGAGGTATATTTATTTTCAAAGTACTGACCCAAATACAAGAAAACTGTTTCCTGTGTAAGAAAATGTCAATGGTTAAATATTTTTAATAACTTATAGAAGAGTCTATAAATGTTCAAGTACATTTTAGAAATAAGATGACAAAATGGTGACATAAGAAAGAATATACAAGATCTCAAAAGAATAAGTATTTATTTGATCCCAATATGAAGAATTTTTTAACTCAGCCTTTGACTTCTGTAATAAAATTCCATAATAAATTTCTGCAGTAAAACAATAAAAATGTCACCTTGCCTAATTTTCACTTTTCTAATCTACAATCCCATCATTTCTGAAACAGCAGGTATTGGTTTTGTTCCTTGAGTATTGATTCAATGCCAGATTGATGCAATGAAAACATATGTAAGTGAAACTCATTAGTTTTATAATACAAGCATCAAAGTACTTCCCAGAATTACAGAATTAGTCTGGAAAATACTACTACTATATTTTACAAAGTAAATGATAAAACTCTTTGCAGTGCTACAACAAGTAAAAATACTTCCTAATGCAGTAAATTCATCTGAGTCTTCCGGACATTTGGCTAGTTGAAGCAGAAGAAATATCTCATCAGACTCCCAAGCTCCAAAAGTCCCAGATATACAGTCATGGCAAATGTAGTCTGCACAGCATGACACATGCAAAACAGACTGGATTTGTAATACAGTCCTTGGCTATCTGTGCACCATATGTGATGTAAATAAAGAGTTAACTTGTCAGACTCACTACTGCAACATTGCATGCAAAACACACAATGCTTTCCAAGACCTGGTTGTGATTTCCATTGTCCACCTCTCATTTATTTCATGGCTCCATCTAATTCACTTTTTAGGCCTACAGTGGAGGATTCTATTAATACCCGTGGATCAGTGAGAATCTGCTGTATTAAGTATGTCATTTCAGAAATTCAAACCATAGAAAACTTGGGTTTAGAATTTTAAAACTGACTAAACATGTATGTAAGCTCTACAAATTTTGCAACTTAATGCAATGACAAGAATTTTAAAAAAAATTGGATAATATAATGAAAGTCTTACCTGATCTGAGGGAGAAGAGCATTTATTTGCCATTTTCATCTGTGAAAGAGAGATGGAAGAATACACAGTTATTAAGAAGCTGAAGAGCTTTTGTGATGAAATTACCATTGACTTATTTATTAAATACTGGATTAATACTTCCAAATTATATTTATAAGAAATTAAAACATTCATTGCTTAAATACTACATTTTTACTATTACACTAAATTTACAAAACCAAGGCACTCAAAAGATGGGAAGCCTTTTATCGGAGTCTTCATTAAATCCTCCATAAAGATTTGCATTTCTGAATTTAACTTTGCCACTCTGAGTGAAAATATTATACTGTACTGTAGACACATCATGTAGGTCTCAGTTAAACAATTGCTTAAGCAGATCTATAAATGAGGCATATGATTAAATACTTGTGAAACGAAGGCCATTGAGTGTAAGACATGTTTAAAGATGAAGGGAATACTGTTTAGGCTTTCCTTTTAGTTTGCTCTTCAAGATAAAGTTACATAGCTTTTTTTTTTTTTTTCCTCTCTGTTCAGATAATGAAGAGTTTGGTTGATTTCAGGTTTTCTTTGGCAGTCACAATTTGCATAGATGAGTGGCGGACACTCTGAGAGATATTCCCTTCTTTAAAGTGAAACACTTTAAAGTGCCATATTAGTAAGTGTAGCAATGATATGGAATCTAGACAGAAAAAGATTAGACTGGAAAGATAGACTCCCCTATACGCAAGGGCATAAGATGCAAACTGTCCTGCAGTTGATGACTACTTCCAACACTTCTTGTTGTCAAAAAGCCCTTTTTATAACAAATGAAAGGCTCGTGATAGAAGATCAAAAGCTATAGCTATGCACAGGAAAAACTACAACTGCCACAGGAAAAGAGCAGGAGAAATCCAGGGCTATTGCTTGTATCCTGGCCATATCAAATTTGTAAAATCAAATCTGTAAATAATCTTTGGAAGCAGAGCATGTCTGCAGCCATGTAGCTCGGTAAATATGGTGATGCCATTGACTATTGTGATGGCTTGACTCTGGTCAGCAGCTGAGCACCCATATAGCTGATCATTCCCTTTCCTCTCCCAGCAGGAAGGGTGAGAGAAAAGGAAGAGCAAAAGCAAGAAAATTCATGGGTCAACACAAAGAGAGCTTAATAAGTGAAGGAAACAGAAAAAACCCCAAGTGATATAAATGCAATCACTACCTTCCAGAAGCAGACTGATGCCCAATCAGTCTCCAATCAACAGCCACCTTGAAAGACAAACCCTGTCCTTCTTTGTCTGTTATGTCACTTCTACTGATGAGCACAACATTATATGGTATGGAATATGTCTTTGGCCAGTTTGAGTGAGCTGTCCCAGCTGTGTCCCCTCCTAATTCCTTGTTCATCCCTTGCTGGGGGTGGGGTGGGGTGTGTCAGAGTGAGAAAAAGTCAAAGCTTTGATGCTGTGCAAGCACTGTTCAGTAACAACCAAAACACTGGTGTGTTATTAAAACTGTTTTAGCCACAAATACAAAACGCAACACCATATGGCTGCTATGAAGAAAGTTACCTCCATCCCAGCCAGACCCACTACACCTGAAAAAGGCCAACAGGCATTGTGTTATGCTAATGACACAGGCCCCAGGAAGTGTCAGGGTTTGTCTGAACTTGTTTTGGACTGTCGGGAGCTGTATTACAGATTCCTTAGTGTAACATAAACATCTAATGACCGTGAGACTATTGCCTACTTGGTTTTAGCAAAATACAGCTGTGAGATGTAATAATATATACATATATAAAAGCTATAGGTATACATATATATGAAGTATATATAGTGTGTATACACACACACTTGTAGCTGATAGCAATAACAAGTCATTATTCTGCATAGTGTGAATTATCTATAACCACAAACAAAATGACCCTAGGACAAAGCACAATGTAGAGGAGTATGGGATGACAGCAGGAGCCTTGACTATACAGACACAGGGTGATACCAAGGCTCAGGGCTGTAGGAGCTCACTGGTCAGTCCTAACCCATCATGGGCCAACAGGGCTCCTTCTCCCCCATACGCGCACTTTTGCAGCCCAGCTGAATTGAGTCGTGTGGTCAAACGGTGCAAGTGTGCTGGTGGGTCAGACAGCTGGGAGTTACTGGGGCTCCGGGGATGAGGTGGCCAGACCTGCTGGGAGCATTTGCCAGTCCTGTCTGTCACCTTGGGTAGAGTGCCAGGAGAGCCTGCCAGACCCTGGGAGGGGCCTTGCCATGCTCCCTACCATCTCCCTGCCACCCCAGAGGAGGAAGGGGGACCACCACAACAGAGGCAGCTCACAGCCTGCAGGCACTGGCACTTGCACCGTAGCACAGATGAGGACTGATGATGAGGATGGAGCTGACATTCAGCTGCCAAGAAGAGCAGGGGGCTTCCAGCAAGGTTCCTCACAGCTCTCGCACACAGCTCTGCCCACGGCAGCCTGGCGCCAGGCTGCGTGGCTGCACCATGCCAGAGGTGGCCTGGAGCACTTTGGGAGGGGAAAGAGGTTACCAGAGCTTCTTGGTGCTCTCAGAGCTCCGACAGTAACAAACCAGTGGGAACTCAAGAACCGCACTCTGTAACTTGGATAAAACAAATTGGTGACATGCCCAGTGTTGCAGAAAGACAAGACATCACCAATCTGATTCAGTAATAGGCGCAATCCTGGGCAGTTGTGCAGGATATAATGAAAAGGCACCTGGAATACTTTAGCACCAGTAGGAATGCTGTCACACCCTGCTGACATTCAGATCCAACCCTTCTTCTGTGCTTCAGACACAAATACATATATGAAGTAACTATACAAAAGCCATGTTATACACACAGAAAATACTGTTTCTTTCCAGGTGGCCAAAGACATGCTGAATAACAAGATTACTATAGCATAAACCAGTGCAAATAAACAGGGCTAGCAGGGATCCTGTCTCCTTTCACTGTTCTTTTTGGTTCAGTCAAGCTATGTAAGCTCCCTATATGATAGAAAGAAATTTTGTTATCCTACTTTTTCTTCTATTCTGTTCAGATGTGCCTGGAGAAATGTGTGAAAGACTGGTCATGCAGGTTTTCTGCAGAATGAGGGCTGAGTATCATGAAGAACATCCTCTTAACCAGTCCAACTCCCCATTGGTAAGGGCAATAGGGAAGAATGCTTTGGATTCCACAGCTGTTCACTGCACAGCCTCAGCTCATTCACCATTCAAAGCAGGGACCACTGCAGCCCTGACGTAACTGTGGGGAGAGGAAAGATCTCCTTCTGCATCACATTACGTCCCTATGTCACGGGCCTGAGGAGAGAGAAGTATGCACTCTCCGCTTCACCTGGCACCCCACATTCTCTACATGCCTCCACAACCAGTGCAGGGAGACAGGAATACAACGGGGATACGCTACACCTTGCCAGCAGCGCGTGAGCTTTCAGTGCTGCAGTACAGTAATGGGAGTTGAAGACAGCAGGTGAACTAAAACTGAAAACCTGGATGTGCAAAGACTGCAGGCAACTTGGAAAAGGAACTATTAAGCAACTGTAATTCCTGTACTTTGTTCTAAATGAATACATATAGGGCAGGAACAGAATCGGGATGAAATGATTCAGAACCATATACCTAAATCTAAATACATCCGAGGCTAGGATTTATCTCACTTAACTTTGGCAAGCCAAAACCAGAAAGAGTTATACAACTAATATACCTATATTCTCTTTCGAGTCAGCAGAGAGAGAGAAGGCTCTTGACAGTCACCTATTGTTTTTTCCTGGCTATAAGAGGATCCTATGCGACTGCTTGTTGCTTTGCTAAATTTAGGTAATGTGATTCCTACCCTTACTGACTTCCCTTTACAACCTCAATGGTTTGAACTGTGATACTTTCAAATGGAAATTTTTGCATTTAAAAACGAAAAAAAAAAAAAAAAAAAAAAAAGCAGCAATTAAGAAATATTCTCATGTGTTTTCACGCTGAGAATAGAATTGTTTGTATAATTATTGAGGCATTGTATATAGTTTCCTACACACACGTATTTTTTTTTCCATCTACATGTACCCCACATTCTGCTGTGCAAAGAAAGCAAGACCTTCTCAATCCTCTTTCTTTTTTTGTATGTATGTTCAAAGTGCATATTTCATAAGTCTCTCCCTATTCAAACAGAAATCTCACTCCACTGTGATACGGAGTATCACTCAGATATACGTGTACATATAGGCATAAAAGAAAAGATTTACATACTATGACATATACAATTAAAAAAGCTGTCAAAGGCATAAATATGATCTAGGTTAATAACCCTGTTTTGAGTCCAAATTTTAAGTTTCTACCATTTTCCAACAAAACTGCTGGAATGATTTATAAAAATCATAAATAATGTTTAAAGTGGAACGACTGCATCTTAACTCATACTCTTACCTGCTTATGAACGACTAATTTATTTGTGAATATTTTTTTTTAAAAATAACACCATTGGAATATACTGGGGAAAAAAATTAAAAGCTTGAGAAAGTTATATACATATAAGAAACATGTCACTATAATGTAAATGAACCGGCACCATTACTTTTAAGTGCTTCTGCTGATTATGACTACATTAATGTTCAGTGCTATAGTTCAGAGAAAATAATTAAGATCCATGAGAAAAGCTGCATATAGTGAATAGCTGGCTATTTGAATAGTGCAAAACAGAGAGAGAAATGTAACTTATTCCAAAGAACTCTCTCCTAAAAAAACATCTCCAGCCCAGCATTGCCACTTCAGCCTACAAAGAACCCTCTTGATGAACAAATTAAGAACAGAAGCAGTGAGAAGCACATGCAGATCAACTTGTTTCCTGTTCTTGTTTCATCATGGCAGCTTCACTGCCAATTTCTTTTCTGTTTCTCCCCTCAGTTCATTAAACTGTACCTCCTTCTGTGAGAAAAGAGGTGTATGAAGAAATAAATGTGAGGTGCTGATTCATCTCTCTATTTCTGCCAAAGGTAAATGTGAAGTGCTTTGAGAACATTGAGAAGATTGGGGATTGAATCACAAAGGAAGATGATAGGGAAGGTTCATGCTGGTAGAAAAGTATGTGAAAAACAAGGATATGAAAAGAATGATGAATAATTTGGGGCAAGGGTCCTTAGGAAAAAAAGTAATCCGTATTGTTTGTAAAGCTAACTGTTACTAGGAGATTTTCTGAGCTAAGCATACAAGGTGTGTATCAGTAAGGAGGGCTGAAAGACATCCTTACATCTTTCTCCATGTTGCAGTATTCCCCATGCTCCTCTGTCTTATAAGAACTAACTCTCTCCAGGCAAGTACCAGAATCATTATTTCTCATCTACCAAGTAACGCTTTCTAGATATGCTAACGTTCAGTGGTAGCGTCCTTGTGCTGTGACGACTTCTCACATCTTCACTATCAAAAGATGATTCCTCCTTTACACTCGATCCCCAGAGAGCTTGCCTTTGTATAGAAGTTAGATGCTTCAGTACTTCAAAAGAGTAGTCTGATATTAGCAGAAGTGTCACATTGTGGCAGAGCTATTTTTGTACTGCCTACACTAGGATTGTCTTATGGCATCAGCAGGAAATCTGACAAAGAACTGCCAGTTGCTGAACAAAACTGTATTAGGGTAAAATAGCAAAATAAAGTATATTAGGATAAAATGATACATGAAAGATAGGGTGCACTGTAAGAAAGAAATCTGTATCAGGAGCTCTTTAAGATCTAAAATTCTAAAAGAAATGATTCAAAATGGTATACAAATGTGTACGATGAAGTATGTATTTAAGGGAAGCACAAATAGGCACAGATGAATGACTAAAGCTCAGGAAGAGTTGCTAAAATCAAGAAACAAGTACCAGCAAAAACAAAACCTAAAAATTTGTGGAAGTAAAAAGTAAACAATGGAAAGTATTGCCTAAATACTTAGTAATAGGTCAGGTAAGAATGCTGACATTCTTTACACCAACAGTATCAGCAAGAAGGTCCATTGTGACCACATCTCTAGCAATAAATTTATGTACAGAAATGATGGTGTAGGACATAAGAGGAAATGAATAGTCTAAATATTTGGAGAAGCAATTGAACTTAGAGTCAGCAAGGAACGTGAAAATCACCCATAAATAGATACGAGCTAATCTGAAATAATCTCTGAAACGGCAGTGATTATCTTCAGTACTCCTGGAGAATAGGGGAGACACTCTACAGAAGTGTTGAAGTACAGAAACAGGAAAAAGCTCGGAGGAATTACAGATCCATTCCCTAACATCAACCTCAGAAGTATGATAGGAAAAGAATCATTTTGTGAAATGACAGTATTAAGGTAATAAAAAGCATTCCAGTTGGATTTCCAAGAAGCCTAATCCAAAGGCCTTGCCCTACGCACTGCGAATGTCAAGCAGTCTGTGTCCTCTGGCTGCCCAGGGGCAGGAAGTTCTCTCCAGCACACTTCAGTCGCACCCCAGCCTCACAGTCCTGGTCTTAAAAATGTTTTGCAATAGAAGGAATTCTCAATGACTACTAATTCTCCTGTTCTGATGATCAGTAATTAAAATAACACTGTGGCTATACCTTTCCATTTACACCACAGGCTGTACACCTGACAAAACCTGTGAAGTATTAAGTCCAAGCAAAAAGTTTACTCACTTCTCACATGATCTGTATAGAGTTTGCTCTGTATCTCACCAAGAACACAAAATCTGTGAATTTACCATGATTGTTGTTTCTCAGACCCTTCCTCAGAACAGCCACTTATATGAACACCAGACGGACTAGTTTGTCTACCGAATTCACTATTATGATAGATAATGGAGAAGACCAATGCAAGTACTCAGTATATAATGAAATGTTGCTGCAGACAGGTCACAACATAGTGAACATACTGTCAGGACACATGTTACTCCATAGTGCATTTGAAAAAAACAGACTAGAACCCTATGACTAATAAAACCTGCTTGCATTTATAGTCACTTTTTACCGTCTTACTCACCTACATCTTTGGAGTGACTTTTATTCAGTGGATTGCTTTAGAAAGCAAAAGAATTTGGCTTAGTAACTATGGACGGGAATTGCTCTAAAAATATTACCATACACTTATTTTTGCTATTCACACAGAGGGAATTATGAAATTTCATTAATAATTTACTTAGCTTTCCAAGAATTGTCAAATAGTAATACCCTGTAAGTGATGTAAATCACTAGACAGAGAATAGAGAATATTTATAAAGAATGCATCTTAAGCAAAAATGTTTGATTTTGTCAAAGACATTGCTTAAGCAATTGAATATTTTAAAAGAATTAATGCAATAAATGAATTTTTGTGATCAAAAGTGATTCCAGGTAACTTTTGAAGATCAGAAAAATAAATTCAATTTATAATCTGTTTTGACCAAAGATTTATGTTGAAATCCAGTACAAATTCTACACAATATAATCTGAAGAACTAAGCAATAATTAGCCTAGAGTACATAGCATAAATTGAAGACATGCTACTAAATAATAATTTATAAAAGATGTTACAGCCTGAACACATCTAAAGAAAAAAAGATTAAAAACCTGCACATGCAATTCTTCCAGGGACAGCTGTGCTCTTATGTTTAGATCATTGATTTCTACCATTTCAAAAAGATTGAAATATATTTTCAATATTATACATTATCGGGTTCCCTACTTAATGTTATGATTCATTCCAGAACCTTCAATAGCTTTCAATTGTTCTTTCTTAGAAGAATAATGTGCTGTCCAAATAATAATTCTCTGTCTCTCCAGGGATTATTTAATACTTCTACTTGCAATAGCAAATGCTCCTCACGAATTTACAGGAATAACTTAAAACGGCATAAATATCTTTATATTTATAGGGGAAAAGATGGAATAATATGACCTTAAATAAACCAGCTACTGGACAACTTAGGTAAAAATACTGTCTCCCAATAAGCTTCTATAAGTCACAATTCCCTAGCTACAGAATTTCCACGTGCCTACTTCAAAATCAACAAATACTAATTTCAAGCACATTTTAATTACAGAAATGTAAAAATGATATAATTGATCATACCTAAAGCTCTGTAAAATGACCAGAAAGGATAATTATTTTACTTTAAAAAGTCTTTAAAATAATAAATGCAGTCTGATTTTCTACTATTCTCTGTTCTATAATAACACTGCAAGTCCTGAAAACTTCTTGATTCTTTTGATTGACCAGGCAACCTCTTCCTGCTCTTTCCTTTCCCCTCTTCCTCCCCATACACATGCATTTTATATATTGTATCTTAAATGTTATTTTTTTCTACCCTTGGAAAATTAGAAATAATTTTACAATAGCATAGACAAGAAAATATGCAGAAAGTAACATACATTTTGAAGTGTCAAATCACTGATGTTAGTTGATATTGCTCTCAGCCAGTCAGCACTCTCCTGGGCTGTATAAAACTGAAGTATCCCAGTACTAACTCCATCGAGTGCCAGCACTTCAAATGCATTAGATCTGCAGTAAGAAGAAATATATCCGTAAAGGAAGATACGTAAATTTTCTGAAACTGCCCACTATTTCTCTGTGTTCCAGTGATTTTTACACCTTTTGACAAGTTTTGAGTCTTAACTTTACAAATAAAAAAAATACAATAAAAAGAAAGATAATAATGGGCAGTACCAGGAGCAACACATGCAATAAGTACTTTCTCTGTACCAGCATATATATGTGCTGATCATTTACTTCTCTTGAGTATACATATTATGTTCATAATCACTGAAGTTAAAGTAGTGTATTCAGGAAGTATGCATTAGATCTTTTGAACAAACATCACATATTTTTAAACCAAAATGACTATTTTCTTTCTTGCATTTTGGTTTCATTTACTTGGAATGTATAAAATTGCAAGGAACTGCCTTCCCTAGCTTTAATTTCTTGAATTTCTATATTTTTCTACATGACGTTCAAAGCAATGTTTCCTTTAGGCTCTCTTATGACATAGGAATTTAAAGAATGTACTTAGAATTTCTTTAAATAATTTTTGATTGTAGGACCCTTTCTCAAACCAGCATTGACACATGCTAATGTGAAATTTAATTTTATTATTTTTTTATGCGTCTTTTATGTGTTTACTATCTGGAGTAAGTTAGGCACTGTGTACGTACTGAAATCCCCCACATTTGGATTTTGGTGTATATTCTTTTTTAATTATGAGATTTTTCAATAGGAACAACAAAAGGTCGTTAAGTAGTTGCATGGAAGTAGTGGTCTAAATCTAAAATGCATTCATGCAATAGTTTCAGCAACTAATCTTCAGAAAGCTACATAGATTATTTAAGTGCTTATGAGTGTCATGAGAATTAGATTTTGGTCACATACTATTGTGAAAGACAATTATAATTATCTGAATGATTGTGCATATGTTTGTTTTGTATATAATATGCTATCTTCTACATTTACAAATTATTTATACTTATATGGTATATTGCTTTCTTTTGGTACTAACCTAGAAGAAAGCAAACAACTGAATCAAGAATACTGCTGTATGATGTTGCCGTTTTTTTCTAGGATTCTCTGATCTAAGGTGAAGTCCTATACTGTTTAATTTATGATATATGTCAACATGAGCATTCAAAATGACATAGAGGTTAACAGGCAGTTAGTTATTCATTCATGACTTACTGAAAAAGTTATTAACCTAACATTTGTCATTTGTAGGGAGTTTAATGGTGAACATGAATACTGAACTCCATATACTTGCTAAGAAAGGTCATATAGAATACCCATCACACACAATATTAAGAAGAGAAAGAATCCTAATAGGTATATATACATTAACTGATATGCTTTGCTATTAAGAGTCGTAAGGCATTATACTTTCTGCTAGCAAAAATAACATTCTTGGTCTGAAGACCGAAATACATATTGGCTGATTGCCTTGTTTTCCTTTCATGATTGACTTATCATGATAACAACTAAAACCTGATGGCAATGGCACACTTCTGTCTCACTTTCATTTCAGTAAATCTGTTTCACCTGTTTAGAAAGAAAGGTCAAAACAAATCCTTTTATTGTCTTCAAGTAAACTGAGTGAAATAATCGCTTCTCAAGCATACTGTTCCTTTCACCTAAGGCTTTGACAGAGATCCCAACAGTGCTATAATGGAATGACTTATGGAATGATCTCTTCAGCATCCCACTGAGAGAGTGACGATCTGTCCATTGATACACAGGGGAGCATGGAAACAGACTGAATTTGGTGCTGTGAAGAGAAGCTATTCAAAATGCCTAACTTAGCTATCAAATTCATATATCAAAGTTAAGATGCTAGAATCCTTACACAGACAGAGAGGACAATCCAGAGCATTTAATAGAGCCAAGAAATAGTACGTGCTCTCCACTGAATTCACGGGGTGCCTGGATACCAACTGAGCCTCAGTAGATGCATAAAGGCATACAGTGCAAATCCCTTATCCAAGTGGCACAAAGTTATACAAATGGCTGATGAAAGATCACAGAAGGGAACTCCTCAGTTAACAACTAATGCAACCAACACAGGCAGTCAAGGTTAAAAATTAACAAGTTTTATTATAAAAATTAACCAACCTTTTATCATTTGAAACCTGGTGCTAGTGAGAGTGCAGATTACACTAAAACTCCTGTTGTCCTTTACCTTATTAAAATATGGTGATCAGTTATAAAAGACAGTTAACAAGATTCAAAAAAATGCATCTGGAGATCTGAACACTTCACTGACAGGATATCTGCACAGCATCAAATAGGGTGTGAGGGATCCTGAAAGTCCTCTAGCCCAGCCTTCTCAATAACTGCTCTAAAATACAAATCTCTTTTCCACATGAAGGCTAGAACTAGACACAGTACTGTAGATGCAAGTATTTCAGATGTGGCCTCAGGAATGCGAAGTAGAGGAGAATAATCACTTCCCTTGACTTGCTTTGTTATTGCTAATGCAGCTCCACGTGTGGGGCTTCGTTACTGAAAGTGAGTACAGCTGACTCACCCCCACTCCGGTGTCTGCCCAGATCCCCAAGCCCTTCCCACAGAGCTGTTCCCTCGCCCTGCAGACTGACACCAGGACAGTCTTCCCCAGGAGCTCTACCTGGTTCAAGGCTTCTGATGTGCCAGAGGTGGTCACACTGCCTGGCACAGGGGACTGAGACCTTTGGGATAGCACAGTCTGCACTGGTGCTGACTCAGGCAGAAACTAGTTTTACTGGAAAGCAACTCAGTGCATTCAATGAAATAGGAAAAGAAAGAGCCAGCGTTTTTCAAAGTTCACAGATGCCAGCCATGAAGTCTGTGCTAGTACTACAGTGATTTTGCTCTTAACCTTGCTTTACTGTGATTATTTCTTGCCTTCTCTTGGAATAGTTTCCCTCTACAGATTCCATAATATCACACTGTGGTTCGAAACACATAGTGTATATAAGGCTACAAGTAAAAACAAATATCTAAACTAAAAACAAAAGCTTAACAAAATGGATGCTGAGGCTTTTAAGTGAAACAATAAATGCAAGCACCGAGACAGCACTGGAATTCAGAAGAAAATAAATTCTAAAGGCTTAAATATCATGCCTTTTTCCATTTTCTCAAGACACAGAAAAGAAAAAAATGAAAAGGCACAATTAAGCACCTATTCCTGCTAGCTGACAAGGATGAGCTTTCCATTTAATCCCAAACAGTAAGTTTGAGAGGTCTCAAGACGCTATGAAGTCATCTCATCACCACAAAATATCATGACTCATCGCCAGAAAATAACATGACATGTCTTGGCTTTTTTTTCTTCTGAGGCTGCAAGCCCATTTGAAAACAGTTAGAGGAAAATCCCATCTCTTCCACTACTGCTGTTACTTACAGACTATTGTAACTAGAACCAGAAATGAATGTTTGCTTTCCCTAAATTCTAGAAATTTGGGCTGAATTACCCTCACATTTCTTATTATTTTCATATTTGTCTCCCAGTCTGTAACTTTGTTTCCTGCAAGCATTTCCACTAGGGAGCACAAGGCACTGTTTTCTATTCTCAGTCTCTTTCTATCTCACTTTCATGGTGAAATGATGAATGGACCTGCATTCCTTGTCTCTTTTGGGTTTTGTTTACTGCATTAATTTCTTTTAAGAAAATAAACTCTGTCTTTGTGAGAATGGCAGTCAGAATAACAGATGGGCATTGGTAGACTTCAGTTCTCTTCCTGACATTGACACTGCTAAACAATATTAATTAATATTAATAAAGCATATTTTGCCATACGAACAATTAGCTACTATGGAAGTGTTAAATCCAAAGACTGTTCTAACAGAAAATGTATTTTCAGTGCCAGATGAAATGGGAAAAGCTGAATTTTTACTTTATAGGAGGCTAAGAATTTCATCAAAATATATTTTAAGATTTTCAGTATCTGTGGCATGTGAAACCATTAGATTTATCTCAATGTTTTATTGTATTTCCTTAATAAAAACCTAGATGCTTGTCTGACAGCAGCTGTTTTTCCTGAAGTTTACTACTGTGCTGATACAGACAGATTTGACCAGTTTTGCATCTTCCCAGGTCCTAAATCAGTCTTCCTTCCCATTTGTATGATTTTTTTGTTGTCTGACTTGAGTGTTTATTGCTTTTCATACAGTATTTTCTAGTGATTTCTTTACAGTACTATATGGCCCTCTTGCTACAATTTAGCCTGATATTTTGTGGATTATGGGTGGATCTGAATGGAAATTCCAAAAAAAAGAATTATCAGAATTATTTAATCTCTCTGAAATACTATGTTAAAAATAATGGGATTGAAAATAAATGGGATTATGTATTGTAAATGGCATGTAGCCTCGTATTTTAAAAACTGTTCATATTTGCTTGTATAATTGGACTATTAACAGAAACTATGTAGCTAAAAAGATATCAAAGTTTTAAACATAAACTTGGATTGAATCTCATGTTTGGGATACTTTGTGAACATTTTGCTTACAGTATTGTAACTGGTTTATTTTGCATTAGACAGAGTAATGAAGTAAAATAACTGCAGTAACATAGACATTATGCTTCTACAGATCTTTTCTTAACTGATGTGGCAGTAGAAGCAGCTGTATTCCATTAGATTTGTAATAACTTGTGCAGAAGAATATTGGGACAGGGGACAGTTTTAGCATTCATGAGAACTCTTATCCTGTTCCCCATGAAGTCACACAAATAGTTACACTGGTACTACTGAGGAGAAAGAACAAGGGTCATATCACCAGATGAAAGAGAAAACAGAGTAGGATGCAGGTGTGAGGTATTTGGCTTTGCCAAATCTGAGGAATTACAGTTTCAGCATGCTTTATTTGTGTGGAAGAAAAAGGTGGAGGAGTCTTGCAGGGAAATAGGAGCAGCTTGGATGACTGAAAGCTGTATACAGTATCAGTATACTACTGTCATCTCTTGAGTGCAGAATGTGCAGTAGGACCAGTCACTGGGCTGGGCTGGAGAATGAAGTGTATATATACTTATTAATATGTGC